AGGGATTTGGGGGATTTACAGAGATAGGTGGGTTCAGAGAGCCTGTGTCATCCCCCCTCGATGCCAGGGCCCCCCTAAATCCTGTCCCACAGCCCCCCAGGAACGAGCAGCAACTCACATAGGGGATGACACCAAGAAAAGAAATAGGGGGGCTGAGGAGGTTGAGGGGGGTCAGGGAGTGGGGCTGAGTTTTGGGGGCCAGGGGAAGTTTGAGGTGTTGGGGAGGTTTTGGAGGTACAGAGGGATCTGGGGGGGAGGGGTCCAAGTGCAAATGAAAAAGATCCCAAATGCTCCAAGAAGACGTTTCACAGTGTCTAACGCGACTAATCCCAGGGGCACAAGGGGGGGAAACGCTGGAGTTGGGGGGTGCCCCGGGGAGGGGAGGGTCCCTCTCCCCCAGCCCCCCATCACTGCAGGACCTGCCCCCGTGTCTCGGGCAGTTTGAGGGCCAGGGAGCTGCCGAGGGCCAGCGCGGCTGAGGCAAACAGGATGGGCACGGCCTTGGTGATGCCCACAAAGGACGTGAAGATGCTGATGCCCAGCACAGCCGCCAGCTTGCACAGTGCGTTCAGGAACCCAAACGCTGTCGTCCTGGGGAGGATGAGGAGGGCTGGGGTCAGTGGGGGCACCCCCGGGGGTAGGGGTGGGTACCCAGCCTCGGGGGACACCTGCAGAGGGCAGGTGGTACCCCAAAATAGGCACCTGGAGGCCTGAAACGGGCACCCGGCACTCCAAAATGGGAACTCAAAACCCTTGAATGTGCATCCAGTACCCCAAAAGGAATATCCAGCAGCCCAGGGCTGGCAGGCAGCAGCCAGAAGCAGGTACCAAGCAGGTGGTAACCCACACCTGGCACTCAGCACCCCAAGACCTGTACCCAGCAGCTGGTACCTCAGGTCTTGCACACAGCATCCAAAACTTCCCGACTGGGACTCCACATGCTTCACCCAGAACCCCAAACTCTCCCACCTGGCACCCAAAACACTGCCCCCAGCACCCAAAACCTCCCACTTGACACCCAAAATCCTCCACATCTGGCACCCAGCCCCTAAATCCTCCCACCCTACACCCAAAACCTCACCCCCGGCAATCAAAACCTCTCACCCAGCACCCAAGACCTCACTCCTTGCACTCAAAATCTCTGTTCCAGGCCCGCACCTCTTGTCAGAGGGGTACAGCTCCACGGTGAGCACGTCAAGCGCATTCCAGGAGGCAATGCTGACCCCCCCAAAGAGGCAGAGCAGCGCAATCATGGCAGACTCGCTGTTCCCAAAGGACAGGAAGAAGCAGCTCACGCAGGACATGACACTGGAGCCAGCTGCAGAACACGTGGATGTGTCAGAGCACAGGGAAACAGACAGGAGGTGGGACTGGGAGGGGGGGCTGACAGTCCCAAGAGAGAGGGAGATGGGGTGACCCACCAGGAAGGACAGGGAGGTCCCCAAGAGATAGCAGAGGTGGAGGTGACCAGCAGGTGGGAGGAGGATCAGGAAGGTCCCAAAGGGGTGACGGAGGTGGGGGGACCCACTGGGGTAGTGCCCAAAAGGTGATGGTGATGAATGATGGTGGGAGG